ATCGGGTAATTATATATCAGTGTGGGTGCAGCGCCTCCTATGGGGTGGACTCCATCACTGTTTGCGTCGAACTTTCCGACATAAGCCGATATACGCGATGAACATATAAACCAAAGCCCAGGCCATGAGTGCAAACGGACACCACATGAGCGCCGACTCATCGAAACCCTGGGATTCAATGACTTCTACTCCGGAGGTATAAGTAGTGGTCAATTGTGTGGTGTTTGTGGTGTTTATGGGCGATATGTTTCCTATATTTCGAAACTCGTTTACAACCAATGATTGGTATCCGTAATATAAAAATGATAACTTCGGGACCCAATTCAACCACCCGGGTAGTGTACTAACAATTTATAAAATTAAAATACTATAATTAAATAAATCAAATATTAAATAGTTTGAATACTTGACGGTAACATAATAGCCACTTAATACATTCAACATTGTCTCGAGCACCGGCAGAATAGCTAATACAGTGCCCAAGTCCTTAATTAGACATGATAGTAGCATTCCTATTTTAATAAAAAAAATATAATAATTTGATTTAAAATTGTTTTAAAATCTAGTATACTGCTTATTTATATTGAGTATGTTTGTAAATAATTTTATGTCTTAATTCAAAATAACATATAAAAAGTTCATACTGTAATAATTAAACAAATAATTAAATACCCGGAAATTACAATCGAAATGTTTAATCATATAAACATCTAATCCTTAACATGTTTAAACACGTTCTTAATAAACCATGTTTATACATTTAAGTCCAATCAATGACTCTGATATAATTATTGATTTTTATATAGTATTTTAAAATTATTTTTAACAAATAAATAATTACCAAAATTTCCGGCGCATACCACTAATAGTAGTGAAACACCCAGGAATATAAAAAATTCAAGCGGGCTGAGATAGAAACCAATAGTGAAATACATAATCACTAAATATATTGCACTTATTAATATATTCACGGTCAACTGTTTGATAAATAAATAGAGAATTTAAATTATCATTGTGATACCTTGTTGTGTATTAATGGATAAATGGTACTCTAGCTATATTAGTATTAACTTGTGACAATCTCTTTTAATCAGACATTTTATGAGACTTTCATACTCATTTCTCATTAAAATTTATTAATACCAGCTAGCCAAAAACAGATATTAATATACAACCTGGACAATAATGGTCGACAACAAATATGGTAGCACAGCGTACGTACGGTTGTGGTGCTCCCTATACATCAGTGACTGCTCCTCTAATGATGTCTTACAATATATAAAGAAAATATATGCTTAAAATCACCTAGGACGGCGTTCACAAAGTTCGTAAACAAAATTAATGAAAAAATGACCCATCCCCTTCCCCATCACGCCCATTGTGCGAATTAATTTACCATGGTGGTACACGTATTGGCGCAATTCCCCTTTCACCGTGTGCACGTACTTTGTGAGCGCCGCATATTTTAATAATTACCACTAAAGCAAAATATACGGGTGGCATACAATTGCTAACGATAACCATAATAAGTACTCCCATGATATTACTCGCATCGGAGTAGGCGTGTCCAATATTATAAAACATGAGGCCAAACAAGAATGCATTAATCTTTCATATACATAACCATTGGAAATTAGTGTTCAAAAATTGACATTGCTAATATTTACCAAATACATAACCAATCGGTCTAGAAGCAATTTGGGATTTCGGGTTAGGGTTATATACGAGCGCCACAATAGTGTCACAAATTGTCGCCAATAGCCAGCCCTATAGCCCGACCTCAGAATCGGTTTATTGAATGTAGGCGTTCCTCGAGTGTTGTTTTCATTCGCATTGATAGTGATATCAGAATAACTCGAATCGAGATAATTGTCGCAAATTTGCTGTATTTTGAAAATAGTTTCAATAAATTAATTGTTTAAAAGACATGAAAATATGAGAAAAATTACATTAACTTTGCGTTTGGTTTGCGAATAATTAGTGTGTGTTATGGCTGTTGTGGGCGTAAAATAAATATAAAATTAAATACTATTTAGTTATTTACAAATATAAGTCTCACCCAGTTGCTTTAAATAATAATCGCATGGATTGTAAGTGTTTGGGCAAAACTGTGTTGACAAATGAAATAAAAAAGTTTACAATTTGTATACAACTGTAATTCAAGTCTTACTAATCCTTGCGATGAAAAGAAATTCTTGGCGTCACCTAAAAGGGCAATACATTTAGAAATTATAATTATGTTATTATAGCAATGAATTTATATTTGCAGTACCGATGGACCCCTTGAAAGCTACCCTTCCGTCGGTCATAAGTAATAGACTGTCGAAGAGTTCAAACACTTGAGACGAGGGCTGATGTATAGTACAGATGACAGTCCGTCCCTCCAATGCCATAGTCTTCAGCACTTGTACTATACTTTTAGCCATAAATGAGTCCAAACCAGTGGTCGGCTCATCGCTAATACNATCAAACAGACTGTCACCTGATGTCAATCCATGTGAAAATGTCGGCGGAATGGTTAAGTCTCTTGTGAGGAGTGAACACCCATTCATTAACAGCGAGGATCAGCTCTGGGAGGCGGTTCAGGTGGCGTATGAGCGGATGTGTGGCAGTGATTGGCGTCAATTTTACATCAATCTCTTGGAATCAGTGCCCAAACGAATGGATGAAGTGATTGATACCGCCGGAGGTTATACTAGATTTTGGTCACTAATGGATCACTGATAAGACAATTGTGGCTATGATTGCAATTATAGTCACTATTTATGAGCGCATTTTCATTGGAATCATCCATTGAATCACTGGTTGTTTCCATACTTTCCACACATTTTCACTAAATACTTGATTTAATACCTGTGATATTCATTTGCAATACATTTCAATACAAATTTAATTCAATTACAGAATAAGTATAATATTTCTATTCTATTCATTAATGTTATAAATAATTGTTTGATTTTATTAAAAATTATTAATTTACGTTCATTTTTGGTTCATTTTATTCAATTAAGAAAACAAATTTATTTCAAAAATATAAAATAATTTTTTATTCCTACTTTATTAATTTTTCCATATTTTACTGTAATACCCTGTTCCAGTCCCTGTTCCCTGGGCCAGTTCAGCAATACCCTATTTTTAGTTTGTTCTCATTGAATAGAATTTAGTGTTATATGAATTTACATAATTTAAATGTTATAACATACTATTTTTGCAAATTAATATCACCACTATTTTTTTAACATACTTCATTAAAAAATGTCTTGATTATAACGACTACATTGAAATATAAAATAAAATGCGGGAACCCCTCGATTAACCTATAAATTGACCTACTTTTTACAAGTTAAGCTATCTATGTATAATATTTAAACAAATCTACATTCAACACTTATTGCAAAAGTGTGCCTATAAAAATTTTGTTTTAATAAATAACGTAAATATTTGTTGATGCACTTAATTAAGAATAATTTATAAAATTAAATGAGCTAGACTTAAAAAGATCATTTCTGAACAAATTGGTTCAGTGATTGGGTTAAAATTCGCTTAACCTTTGCATATAAGATTGTCCTAGAACGGTTTTAAAATTGTTGAATAAAATTAAATTTTTTTTCTATTTCAGATATTGAATATTATTATTATTGCTCAATTTATTGTAAAATAAGGGTCGTTCATTAAGTGCTTGTGCACTTGTTGGGGGGAGGGGGTAGGGGTTAGCCATGGCAATCATAAACAATTTTAACGTCCTATGTACGAAAGGATTAAGTAGGGGAGAGGGGGGTCAATTTTTGGAAAAAATTTTGTGTACGTACTTATTGAATGGCCCCTAAGTTGTTTTTAACTAATATTATAACAATGAAATAATTAGTCAGCATTTATTAAATAATTGTCATTATTTAAACAGTATGTGCGACATTATTAAAAATGTTACCTTATTTGTTAAGTTTTGATTATAATTTAATACAATAAAAATGTCTGAAATGAATGCCGACAATAGGAATGGGAGTCCGGGAGAGACCATACATTCGGTGCGTATTTCGTGGACTAATATCCGGGTGTCGACTAAAACACAGAAATCTATGTATAATTGCTTTCAAACTAAGAAAATGCCGAAAGAGATCATTCGTAACGGTATTATAGTTTATATTTTAGAAAAATATTATTTATACTAGTATAGTATAGCAAAATAATTTATTAATAGTGTCTGGTTCAGTTAACGCTGGAAGTCTATTGGCAATTATGGGCGCCAGGTACAAATTTAAAACACTATATACATTATATTTATTACATCATGTTGAATTTAATATATAATAATTTTTATTTGAACAATGATTACGACTAGAGTTTTGATTTGTTTTATTTATTGCTAATTATTTATGTTTAAAAAAATATTTTTAATTTGTTGTGACATTCAGTGGCTCCGGAAAGACCACTCTATTGAATGTATTAACGGCAAGAAATTTACGGCAACTATCCGTCAATGGAGTGGTACTCATGAATGGACAGGCAGTCAGTCAACAGACCATTGCATCCATGTCCTCGTATATACAACAACACGATTTGTTTCAACCCATGCTTACAGTCAGAGAGCACCTCATGTTTCAGGTATTTATCATTGAGTTTAAGATTATATTTAGTTCTTTGTATAAACAGAATATTGTGACAAATATTTTATTTTTAAGGTATTGTTAAGAATGGATAGGAATTTGAGTAATAATGAGAAACAAGATTGCATTCAACGGGTTATAGATAAGGTTTATATAAATTATCCGGATATTCAATAATTATTTTTATAAATTAATTTCAATATTTAGTTTAATTTAGCGAAATGTGCGGAAACAAGGATTGGAGACAACAATCATTTTAAAGGCATTTCCGGCGGAGAAATGAAAAGACTGTCCATTGCTTCA